TTATACACAAAACATTGTTTTGAGTTTTAAAGTAAACGTGTTTTCTGGTTTCATGTTTTCAGAAATAGTTTTCCAAAATAACAAATATAACGCATTTTCAACAATTTCAAAGTAGACACTCAAAACACAAAACACAAAACGAATTCAAAATTCAAAACAGAAAATTGAAACACAAAGAGAACGACACCTAACTCTTTTACTTGAAAGTAAAAGAAACTGAGGCTTGTTTGGCCAAATTTTTCCAAAATCAATTTGATATTTTTCAAGAAAACAATTCTAGACAATTCAATATTTTTCACGTGAAAAATTATATTAATCAAATACAATTAATTGACAATTTTCAAGAAAACAATTATAGACAATTAAATTCTCTAAAATTCATTTTTTTCCACCAAAATTCCACTCTTCTGATCAAACAGACCCTAAGTGTTGAATACCAAGTTCTAATCCCTACAGTGATGACGGTAAAGCTCTTAATTACAGTATTATATCCACACAGAGCAATCAAACCACATAGTTAGTACATATATATACTTCGTCATTCCAATTTGCCACAAAGCACATAGTACATATATATTTTTCTTCTCTTGTTTATTACTTTTAAATATATATTAATGTTTAATTTATCTTTCGTTCTTCCATTTTCGAATCCTATTGATGTGACCACAAAACTCAACCTCTTTTTCAATTTTTATTAATTGCATTGCATTTTCATTTCACTTAACGTTGTCAATTTTTCTTCATTGTAACACTAATATTTTTAACTTTTTTCGACGCATTCTTGTCCCCAACATTCTTTAATTTTCACATTTAGTTTTCGATTATAATTTTCATTCCAAAAGTTTGTGAACGTGAAGTAAAAAATATTGGCAAGTAATGATTTTACCGTGCTATAATTTAAAATAATCTTGCGGTGAATAAATGGCTGGGGCAGAATACCAACTTTTTTCAAAATGAATGAAATAAAACGACCTCGACTTGTAATAATAACACTTCAAAATACAAGACCATGTTAACTTATGGTTAATTTCGAGTTTTGATTATAACAAACAAATTATTCTTATCTCTAACATTTAGATTCAAGTTTTCATTGTTATATGTTGCGAACCTAATGGAAATCGAGCATTCACAATCAAGCTTGTAAATCGAGCACTCGTGTNTTATAACAAACAAATTATTCTTATCTCTAACATTTATATTCAAGTTTTCATTGTTATATGTTGCGAACCTAATGGAAATCGAGCATTCACAATCAAGCTTGTAAATCGAGCACTCGTGTCAAAATAATCGGAGACAAATCAAGCATCCGCGTCAAATTCAAAATCGAGCAACAAAACGTGTACTCGCACCAAATCAATCGAAGACATTAAACTTAGACGATTTGAATACATATGTAAAGGTAAAAAGCTTTAAGTCTTAACAATGAATTACTACAATCTCGTAAGTTAAATTTTTTATGCACGAAATAAAATTTTCACAAAAGCACTCACATAAAAATTATTTTTGATGTAACAAAAATCTTTACTTGACTTTTGAATTCTTTACCAATGACACTTATTTTGAAAAAGTTAAGTGAAAATATCTCTAAAGGATTTACACTTGCAAAAATAATCAAGAAAATAGTAAACTAAAGATTTATGCTCCGGCGGACGCCCAATGATCAAATTTTTATCCGTTCCAAATTCTGACGCTCAATGGCTAATTTAGTCGTCCGG